GCGTGACTTTTATCTTCTGTATTTTCAATAAAATCACGCGACATTTATATTCTCCGCTTCAAAACACATGCATCTCTCTGTTATATGACATATGCTAATTAGCTCGTGCGACACCAACATGGCGGACGATAACATTTGATAGGTGTATGACGTCACATGAAAACCAAGAATAAATTTTGCTTAAAAGTATCCACAAGGATAATGTTGAACACGAAATGATAAATATTTGCTGTTATGTTTAATTTACCTTTAAGTTCCGTTACTAGATAGTAAATTAGGTGATTAGAGCCATTTTTTTTGTCAGACATCGACTAAACAAAAGAGAATTATACACAGTTTAAGAAACGGAACCCCCTTTTGAAAAATCCTGGATCCGCCAATGCTTTTACCACTTAGTTATTTAAGTTTTCTCTTCCAAATTCAGCCATGACTACGCTTTGCCACCTGTCCAAATGTTAACCAAACTTCCGTCAATAAAAACGCCTTATCTTCGATAACAATAAACTAACTAATAGCACTGGATATCGCACACATCTAGCCAATCAAATCGTAGATTGTTTCTTAGACCACGCCCTAAACTAAATATATCTTGTAACACAAAATAAAACAAACTTTCAAGCAGCCAATCAGAAATTCCAACGCTCTTCTGTCAGCCAATAGAAAGACAGTAGAAATGTTATTGCTTATGCTACAAAGTTTTGGAAATCATTCGATATAGCGTTGCGCACAATTAGCCACAAGATTCACTAAAAATAATACGTTCTACGCAAAAGTCAATAAAGAATACAATGAAAGGCACAAGTAGATCCAGGCGCATGATTACATCGATGGAGTCCTTCCTAGACGATTACGAGTATTATAATTTCGATCCAGTATTGAATGCCATCAGTTCGTCAAGAAAAGGCCGTACTAAAAGAGAAGCAAGTAGCAACACAAACCGAACAAGCCCTGCTGGTCATGAGAGGAAAATAACAACCAAGTTCCAAAACTTCGAGAAAAAGAGAAAAAATGTTTGACATCACGAAAAGGATGGGAATGTAATAAATGTGAACTAGATATTTCTGGGAATGTATACTAAAAGCTGAGTGAAATGTAAGCATGATTTTCTGCTCTGGCTACGCCTATGTAAGAGGAATACACTATCAAATGATTATACTAAGGAACATGTTAACAAAATGTCAAAAAATGAGGTACCGTATGTTTTTCCTATGGATTGCCAGGGATAAGCATTTTGTCCAAGCTAGTCATTTTTCTTAACAGAAAAATCATTAACATTATTGAACTGTATGGTGAATGATTGCTTGCGCAAATGCCAAAAATTGTAAGCTTCGCTTTCTTTCTCTGTTTGTTTGCTGTTGAAGAATATACGAACCTGACAAAACTATACCTCTCGAAAAATGTATTTAGCTCCCTTAGATTTAAAAATATTTGTCCTTATTGTTCAGAAAACATTCAAGGTAAAAGCATAAAAATGGCTCGGTGAACTAGCTCTTTATTATGAAACTTTTTATACCTGCAAATTATTATTAAGAATACTATTGACAATTAGAAAATGTATAAAATGCATGCATACCCTTGTACAATTCTTTTAACAAAATGTTAGTTTCAAGTGCATGAGCAAATTTGTGATTACAAAACGACCAATAGAAAATATTGTCCTACGACTGAGACCTATTGCTTGCGGAGATCAACTAATTCTATTTACTGCACTGATTCAAAATCCTGATGCATTTAAAAAATGCATCTTTGCTGCGAATTATCTCTCTAAGTCCTCAGGATTAGAAGAAAACGTCAAATCCTTTCATGATCTATGAAGGTAAGGTTTTCCTATCTCAGGCTGTGCCCTATTACCTATTATGGTATGCTAAAGTCTAAGATGTGTAAGCGAAAGAGTCCTATCGACATTTGTGCGGGATGCATCGCTCGCTCCTGGATGGGATGCATCGCCATCGCCATCGCCATCGCCATCGCCATCGCCATCGCCATCGCCATCGCCATCGCCATCGCCATCGCCATCGCCATCGCCAGCGTCATCATAATCAGGCAATCCTCACGCCAGAAGGCCCCTATAGAGCAGTTTTCGCATGGATGTGAAAAGCTCAGTGCCGTAAGCGTGCAGTGCCGTGACGTTTTCTAGCATTTTAATTTGCTAATTTTTTTCTCGCGCAATGTGATTGGTCTGGCAGTGCCATGACCTTGGCTTGTCCGTGCCGTGTTTATGCCGTGTTTTGGATACAATTAGTCTGGCGTACTCCTTGCCGTGTCACGATGGTTTTCGTTTCGTGAGCTTTTCAACATCAAACGAAAACTGCTCTAACGCCATCACATCATTTCTCATCCAACAATTGAAAAATTTTGGTTCGTTACAGAACTAAGGAATATAAAACAGCAGCCACGCTAGAAAGTGCCCCAGCACAGGACAACACAGCTAACTCCAACTTGAATTCACAGCTACGAAAGTCCTTTGACGGCCAATAACCCCTCACACAGTCTGCACATGTGGAAGTGTTCGTTATGTACTGATTATAATTACAAGGTTGGCAAGACCAACAACATTTGCGACCTTTCTCGGCAATCTGAATGTGTCCTAGAGGGCATGTTGGTTCACATGTAGAGTCTGGTGTGCCCGAGGTTTTTCCCGGCCAAAGAATCCCTGCACGATTGATATACCAGTTCTTGTTATCCCAAGTACCCACGACACGTGACGGAAGACCAGAGCTGTTACCATGGATACTCACAAGAGAAAACATATTTTCTTTAAGGAAATAGTTCTCTGAGTTGTCGTGACTTGAATCTCCTTGGAACAACTTTTGGACCAGAATTTGCAATTCTTCTGCAAGGTGGTGGCTGCTGAATGCCTCGAAGCATTCTTCCTTGGTTTTGTCCCAACACTTTGTTTCCATGTACCGTGAAACAGCGTGCCCAACCTTAACGACACTATTCATAATGCCTTGTACCTCTACGGCACGTCTGTGTGCTACTCTCCTCCTGGTATCTTGACTCTGTTTGGTTGCAAAGGCTTTCAAAGTCTGGTCCAAAACCCCCTGACTCGACACCACCTCCATGTCACATTGATCCATTAGCACCGCAGGGCCATCTTTGTCATCTTGCTCAATCTTTTCCTTCTTACAATCCAACTGCACAATATGGTTTTTGAGCTCTTCTAGGAACATATATTCTGGGGCGAGGGTTAGGATTGTTTCAGTCGTTCTTGTTAGCTCCTGGGTGAAACTTTCTGCAGTACCCATGGCGTCGATCCATATATAATGTGAAGGCTTCCTTGCTCCAACACCTACGAAAATAATCGTAAATATTCCATTAACTGGTCTATCTCAACTACAACAAATTAGCGTATTCTTATTGACATTCCCATTATTATTTTCTACGCGTTTTCCTTCTCAAAAGCGGGTACCTGCAGTTACTATTATCCAATTATAGCTAAATAAAAAATTCACAATCGCTCTCCATACATCACTCATATATTGATTCGAAACATCGCACATTCGCAAAAAGGATAGACTTTTTTCCCCAGTTACTCCTACAGAAAACTGCGCCTGTTATTTCTGTAATGTTACTTTATTTTTACTGGCCATTTAATTGTACAAGTTTTTACCAACTGTTTTAGAAATCCAAAAACAAATTGTATATTTTGAACTAGGGTTTTCACAGGTGGCAAAATAAGAATATAAATAAGAAAATAGGATAAAAAAACAATTTTTACACTTATTTTCCCCTTCCATGTTTCATTTTATCTTTTCTTTTCCTTGCATTTCCTAAATCCATTCCATGCGTCAATTACATTTAAAGTGCATTAAATTAATCAATTCAATCGTATATTTTCCTGTTTTCCCAAATTGTTTTGAGTAAATTCCATAGTTCGTCACTATACTTTTGAGCAATGCTTACCTCGTATAACTTTCAACATCTCCTTATCGTCCGTGAACAACACCACCACACGAACCGCTCCAAAACCATGTCCTAAACGATGCATCAGATTCTTGTCTGTAGAACTATCTTGCTCATCCGACGTAGCATGTTCCAATACCACTGCTAAACAAATGTCTTCCATTTCTGCAAAATGCTTGAATATCAAGTAGTCTTTTAAAAAACGTTGGTTGACAACCAGAGAGACTGACTTCCATTGGAAATATTTGATCAATCCTACGAGGGATTTAGCTCTGTAGTAGCTCGTTTTTATCGATTCAAAGAAATATGGTTGATGCCTGGGGAAACTGCCATTTTCATTGTATATCTGTTCTGAAAATAGAATCTGTGGGATTCGAAATAGGCTAAGTAAAGTAGAAGAGTCAATATCGTTGGAGTTTGTTAATACAGCAACGACCTTTTTTGAGGAAGTCTCTTTCAAAGAATTGCTTTGCTTGTTTAAGTGTAAAATATCCAATGAATGCTCCAATGCAGGTCTTGAACAGGTATCTCGAAGATAGAGCCCAAATGTTACATTCCTAAGCCATGGATTTTTGCTAGATTTCAGCTCGTCCAGAGCAAAGTTCAAAGCTTTTACCCAAAGCAATCCATCCTTGTTGACGACAGTACAATCCCCATTGGAATCTTTTCGATATAATGGAAACAAAGCTCCAAGAATTAAATCACCGTTTTTGGCAATAGAACCATCTTCCAATGACGAAGATGAGACAGACTTTCTTAAAACAGAAATTACTAAGGCAAATGTGCAAAAACTCTTAAAATAAAAATTTTCCATCTTAAAAATCCAAAATTTCCATTCTTTAGAGGCACAGGCATATATGTGAACTAGACTGAAGTCCAAAGGCTATTCCAAACAGTATAATAATGCCTTAATTAACATAAAAACATTTTTGTAGAAGATTCTGTCAAAGCACCAATCGGTCACCTGTTCTGGCAAGCTTGTTTTCGCGGGAAAAGGTGCGCGCGCGTCCACCAGTATTTTGCCACCAACAATACTGGCAAACCACAATAAATAAGCAAGTACGAAAAGCAGGTCGCAGTCAGCACTTTTCAACCAAAAAAATTTCAATTATTTAATTTTTGTCGCACTATTGAGTCGTTTTTATTACGTCTTTGTTCTTAGCACTAAATTTACTTTTCGTTCCTTTTTTTCCCCTGTCGTTTCTACATTAATATCTCGAAGATGCTTAGTTATTATTTTTACGAAATATTTAGTTGTAAACTGAAATCGGAAAACACCAATAGAAGAATCAATTGGTATTCAAATCGGATGATTTTCATTGCTGCGTTAAGATGACGTTTCATAAAATTTAATGACGTATTCATGACGTTGAGATGAGTGAATCCAAACGTTTCCGCAAACTGGAATCATTAATTCTTAAAACAGTCCTCGACTCAGTTGTCTTCGAACGCTTCATTCAATGCACAAATATCTATCTGATCAGTTTATAACCCATATTGGTACGTTTAGTGTTTTTTTTCCTGAATGACGTACATTCAGCTTGGTACACAGGTTCAGGTGATCAGTTCTGTCCGTCACATGTCCTTTAAGTCAGCCACGTGATTAGGTCTGTCAGTCACGTGTCCTTCAAGTAGTCAGCCACATGAACGGGTCTGTCTGTCACGTGTCCTTCAAGTGGTCAGCCACATGAACGGGTCTGTCTGTCACGTGCCTTCAAGTAGTCAGCCACATGAACGGGTCTGTCTGTCACGTGTCCTTCAAGTAGTCAGCCACACGAACAGGTCTGTTCACTTGGAGTGGTTGTAGAGGTAGATCGAGAGTGGCAGAAAGTTCTACATATGCACGGCATAGCTTATCAAAGTCACTCATTGTTACCTCATGTGCGCGTTGTTCTGTGTTAATATCTGCAAGACGTACAAGGTCTTCCACGAGGTGTTCTTTCCCTGGGAATAGTAACCTAAAAAATGGCAGGAAAAAACAGTCATCAGGCTGTCGTGAAAGCAAGGATGATTTAAGCGCAAAGGATAGACAAACTATACTCCCCTGCCCTACCTACAAAGTGAGCAGTTGCACTATTCCCTTATGTCCTACCTTACCGACCATCCTCTGGTTCCTCACAACTACCCACAAACACATTACCAACGTATTCCCTCCCCCCTCTCCCCCACACAAACTACCAACCTATCCCCTCCTCCACACAAACTACCAACCTATCCCCTCCCCCACACAAACTACCAACCTATCCCCTCCCCCACACAAACTACCAACCTATC